GCCGGCTTGGTTTGGTAATATACTGTAGGCGCTGCCCTCAGGCAGGTGAGACGCCTTTCCACCGCTCGGGGTTGGTTACATAAGAATTGTTTTCAAGGCTGCAACCTGCATGTCCTCTCTGTTACTATTACTTGTCATGACCCTACCTGCCTGACGGAAGAGCTGGAGTGTGTATTGGGGGGCGGGGGGACCGCTGGGTAGCCAGTGGCATGGCATAGAGTAGGGTTCTGTGTCTGGCAGGGGGTGCTGTGGGTACATGGGGCTCTGCATCTGTTGGGGGGCTCTGCACGCCTGCTGTGGGGTGTCATGCCTGGGGAGGAGGAGCAGCGGGCATGCCAGGTGTGTGGGCAGGGCCGGCTCCAGGCACCAGCGCAGGAAACAGGTGCTGGGGGCGGCACGTCCAGGTCTTCGGCGGTGGGTCCCTCAGTCCCCCTCAGAGGGAAGGGCCTGCCGCCGAATTGCCACCGAAGAATGAAGCGGCGCGGTAGAGCTGCCGTCGAAGTGCCACCGATCATGGCTTTATCTTTTTCTTTCTTTTTTTTTTTTCCCCTTTTCCTCTTGGGGTGGCAAAAAAGCTGGAGCCGGACCTGCGTGTGGGGCAGTGCTGGGGGGGCGCGCCAGGGTAGCGCTGGAATTGCTGCTAGCACACGGGCAGGCCCTGCGTGTGGGGCAGTGCTGGGGGGCGCGCCGGGGTAGCGCTGGCATTGCAGCTAGCACACGGGCAGGCCCTGCGCTTGTGGGGCAATGCTGGGGGGCGCGCCGGGGTAGCGCTGGCATTGCAGCTAGCACACGGGCAGGCCCTGCGCTTGTGGGGCAGGGCTACGCCTCTCTCCTGTTCTGTGCCCAGCAGCGAGCTCAGTGGCACAAAGCCCCCGAGGCTGGGGGCGAGTGGCCAGCACTGCCCAGACACTGCCCCATCAGCGGGCTCTGGAAGGGGCCTCCAAGCCCTCACTGCCCCGTTGGGGGCACGTTTCCCCCGTACATGCAGCCAGGCTCGGAGCCTGCAGGGCCCCACACTGCAGCAAGGCGCTGCTGGCCGTTGCTGTCAGCCCTGCGCTCTGCATCCCCAGGCAATTAGAACCCAGGCCCGAGAGTGGAGTTTACTCTGCTCCCTCCCCGGCCTGTCCCAGAGCTGGGCGCTCGTCTTGTGGTGCTGCTTTCGGGTCTCTCTGGCTCTTACGTGGCCCACAAAGGTCTCCGAGCCAGCGCCTGGGCCCTGGCTGCAATGCCTGGGGTTTGCATTTGCTCCCTGGAACTGGCACGGGCCAGTCAGAAGCAACAGCAGCTCCTCCCCTCTGTTCCTGGGACCCTGGGGCCTGATGCATGGCTGGCAGCCTCACCCAGCCCCAGCAAGAGCCCCCTGTCCCCAGCCTCTGGGCAAGGGAACCTGTAGGACGGGGGGCTCCGGGCTGGCCCGTTAGAACTGGGGTCTGGAGCTGGCGTCCCAGCGGCTTTATTACAGAAATGACATAGTGACGCGTTAAACGTTGTGTAATCATTTGTTTGTACGTCAGTGGCCCCGAGTGACCCCAGCCGATATCGGGGCCCCTTGGGCGGGTCGCTGCCCGGTGGAAGAGTCTGAGCGCACAGTCCAACCAGGCAGGTCAGCCGCCGTGTGGGGAGGGGGAGGAGAGCGGCGGGGCAGGGCCGGAACTTGCCCAAGGTCACCCGGCTAATCCGTGGCAGCGCTGGGAAATAACCCAGGTCCCCTGAGTCCCAGCCCAGTGCTCGCTGCTCCTCACCCATGGGGTAAAGCCCGTGGAGAAACTTGACAGACGATGCTTTATTCCTCCTGGCTCAGAATAACAACACTGAGCACTGATACAGCCCAGAGCCATAGCAACCCTCTGCCCCTCGCCACCCCCTCCGAGAGAGGCAACGATCGCCCCTGTTTCCAGACAGGGAAACTGAGGCACAGAAGAGGTCAGTGACTTGCCGATGGTCAGTAACAGAGGGGAGGGAAGGGAAGGGGTACAGTACAGACCAATAACGCTTTGCTATAATAAAACCACCTGGTTCACTGCGGAGCGTCTGGACGGGCTGCAGACATCTGCTTTGTCTGATCAGCTAGCACTGCTCTCCAGCCACCCCCCTCCCCGAGCCACGGGAAAACAACTCAGCTCCTCTCAGGTAGCACGTGTTCCTTCAACCAGGGCATTGGCAAAATCAGAACAGCGTATGGCAAAGACTTCACCGTGGCCAAACAGCCAGTCTGCTGGATGCCAGCGAGGTGGAGAAGCCCCTGAACTGTCGGGCAGCAAGCTGGGGTGTGCAGCAACTGGCTGCCACAGAATCTGAGCAATTAAGTTCCCCTCCCCCAGCTGAGGTGTCTTCCCCCCCCCCCGCCCCCCGGCAGTGCCCTCTCCCATGTTGGTCCTTTGCACCGTCACATAAACGAGACCAAGTAATCACAGACTCAAAGCTTTCTATGTTGGCTTTCCCAGAGAACTGGGACCAGATCCTCCGCTGATGGAAACTGATGTATTGAAGACAATGGGAGTTTTGCCATTGACTTCAATGAGGCTGAAGTTTCACCCTTTGTATTTATCAATGATTTAAGGGGAGTGATGCTGATTTACATCAGCTGAGGAGCTGGCCCTTAATTTCCACTCTCCTGCTTGTAATCTGGGGTGATTAGAGTGACGCCAGCACCTCACAACTAGCGTGGGAATATTGCCTGGAAGTGAATTTCAAACTCCATATTCAAGTGTGTGCAGCTGAACCTGATTTGCACTCCTCCAGCCAGGCACCAGAAGAAATGTTCTGTGACCTCGCTACATGCCATCAAACCTAACCGATGCTGATCGCATCTCCGCTCTCCGAGATAAAGGGTTCTCTGTGAAACGCCTCGCAAATGGCCTCCAAGAACAAAGTGACTCAGGAATAACTTTAAATAACCATTAAATCCACGAAACTCACCAGGAGTTTGCCCGCAGGAAAAAAGGCAACGTTTGTCAAATGATTTTCTGTAAACTATTTGTTCAGCTTTTCTTATAACCAGTGATTACAGTGGGTGAGGAAACGCTTCCTTTTTATGCAGAACTATGCTCCATCTGGGTGTAAAGAAAAGGAATTATTCAGCCTACTTGAGTTCTGTATTTATCTGGCCGTGCAGGATTTGTCCCTATAAAATGCATCAAATCGTGTCTTAGGTGGCTAGGTTTTGGTAAATTCTAGTTTTGAAGATGATTAATTTAATGTTTTGTTACAATTTACGTTTCAGTTGCGATATAGGCCAGTATTTTAAGGTGTCCCTATGGCTTGGGTAAAATGCTGCAGGGCTAGTGTTTTTAAAGTTTTCTATTACATTTTCCGCAACTAAATTGATATTTTTGCTTAGATTACCATGAAAAACCATCAAGCAAATAAACAAAACAAAACCCCCGCCAAACCCACAGCCCCACTCCTACGCTCGTCTCCCAGGGACGAGATTTACCTTCTATGTAGCTAATATGGGTTCGTCTGGAATTTCAGGAGGGATGCACTTTGTGCTGCTGATTACGAATCTCACATTTTTATTGTGTCTGTTATTGTCCAAACCAAACCCCCCAGTGAGTGTGGCTCTAATTATGTGTAAATATCATCTGAGAGGAAAGTATTTTCTGAAGATAACACCCCTTTCTTATCTCCCTGTTTACAGCGTGTTGTATCTCCTGTTTGGGCTGGGTAGTAGCAATCCATACAATATGCTCTTACAGCTGAAATGTGTATTTATCTGTGTCTGTCCTTTCTATCTGAAAAACATATTACACATGTGAGGGCAGAATAAAAAATAAAGCAGTTGTGTTTCCTGAAATGCATTTAACGTTTTAAATAGATGCAGATGCATTTCTCCTTCAACAGATACTAAACAGGGAAAGGAATGTTAGCAGAATCCAGGGACTTGTTGTTATCTGTCACTTTTAAGTTTTTAACACAGTTTGATTTGAATACATTAATTACACTGTTATTTAAACCGTCTGGGAGATTTCTGCTTTAAACATTCAAAGATCTGTGCTTGTTGCTGAACTAAAGCTGTTCATTATGATTTTTCCCCTCTGTCTATCTGCAATATGCACATATATCCTATCTATACAGATCTAAATAAAAAGTCTAGGGGGGTTGTGTGTCGAGATGTTACCCTGGTATTTCCTTAAAGAAAGTATTTATGGGAGTTTGCTTGGATATAATTTCTTTCATTTAGCTTCCCAGGTGTGCAATCTCGAAGTCAATTTCAATTAAAATTGAAATATTGCACTAATCCGATCCTTAGTTTAATCCCCCTCCATGTAGACTATGCTAGAGATTGATAAATCATAAAGTTAACCACTTCAAAAGCTAACACAGTTATTTTTTCACTTTAAAAAGTCATTTGTCTATTTTCACGCACGTTCATAAAATAACAGGCTTAGTTTGTACAAAATTAAGTGATTTTTGGCTAAATGTTTGACCAAAAAACCTAGTATTACTAGAGCATCTACATTGCATTCAGTTCTCTGTACACCAGACGGCTTCCTTCCTAGAAGGTTTCATCATATTGATTATAATTTCTTCTGCCTAAAACCCAAACACACCCCAAACACTTTGCCTTTGAATTAAATCTCGGCAGCTTCTGTTCACCGGCCTAGGTTTAGAAATACAAACTTTAAAACCCGAATTTCTAAAGATTTGTAATCCTGTCATTTCAACTGCAAAAATCTCGCTCCGTGTTCTCGGCCATTCTGAATAATATTAGTTATTTCTGTTTGGCTGCACCTACAAAATACCTTTCCAGTTCTCTGCTGGCTGTGGCGACTCCGGCTTCATTCCGATTTTGTTTGTATTTATTTCAAATAGTTTTTCCTTAAGTGCTGCTCAATGGAAATTTATTTTTTTTTTGGATCATTGCAATATTTTTTTAGTAAGAAAAATTTTGTCATGTTTTTAATCCAACGCTACTTTTTTTTTTTTAACTCAGCCACTGCGCGCCGACATTTTAAATCTGCCTCAACTGTTTGCTTCCTTCCGCCGTGATAAGTTTCTCCTTCCTTGAGTCTGTGGTGTGTACTGGGATGCGAAAGGCTCTAGGTGTCAGATGCCTCCCTTCATTCTTCAGGCTGCAAGCTTCCAGGTAAAGCACGTTCCACCGATTTGGGGCTTGATTTTTGTGTGTGTGTTTGTGCAGCTTCTTTGAAGCAATTTTTTTTCCTGGCATGTGTATCAATTGTTCGGCGCGTTCGCATGAAATGTGTGAATTGGCACCGTCTGAGCCGAGCTGGGTGCGTGTGGGGGAATAAAGATGCCAGCGTGCCAAGAGTACAGATGCTGCATGAACTGTGCAGCCCTTGTAGACAGTCCCAGCTCTGCAGTGGGTAGAGAAGTGGCAGCCTTCCAAAGCCATCACAGCTTTTATTCATCGTCTGTACAACAACTACATAACGTCTCGCTGGGCAGCGCCAGGCACGGATGGACGAGGGGAGAGTTTTGAAGGAGTGGGAAAGCACAACTTGGAAAATGGGGTTCTCAGCAATATTTGGGTTGGTTTGTTTGTTTTTTAGGGGGGGGAAATGTTGAGTAGAATCTGCCCTGGCTTGGTGCAAATTTCCGCTGTGAGTCTGCTGACGTCACTGCCAGTCACAATGGGTTGAATATATTTTGCAGTGTGTAGTTGCAGAGCATTTACTGCGGAGTCTGTGACCTGGTTTTCTTCCCTCCTGCAGCAAGGAGTTCTCTCATAAATTCTAAGTCATAATCCAGCACAGCTCCCAGGGCCAGGGCTGCTGTGACAGACCCAGTTTGTCCTCAGTTTCATATTCCCTTTTTCTTCCTCCAAAATTCCTCTCTTCGTCTTTGAATGGAAATGCCTCTGTGAAGTCGATCAATGCCTGCTCATTTGAGAGGTAAACGAGAGTTGAATAATTAGTAATGATGCATTCGGGGGCAAAATTTCTCTGCTTGAATTTATATCAACTCCACTCTTGCATATTGCATCTGGGCCAGGCTTTGAGAGTGAGCCGTGGTGCTGAGATGCGGCACAAAGGGACAGTGAGACAGAAAGCAGGAGCTCCAGACAACACTTGGGCATCTTTTCTGGCACGGGTTCTTTCCCTTTCGATAACCTCCCTTATTTGGGGGGAAGGGGGGCTGGAGCAGGATTAGTCATTTGCAGGCAGTTTGTTTTTCCATCAACATTGTGTGTGTGTGTGTGTGTGTGTGTGTCCAGGCTTTTGTCACCCTTTTGTGAGTGGAATGGTTGTTTGGTAGCAACGAGCAAGGGCTCCTTGCCAAGTCTGCCTAATTAAGATTAAGTATATGCAGATTTGCCTTGTTTTCAGCTAATGACAGCTGCAAACAATTATTTGTCATGCTTGCTGATTGTTGATTGGTAAAGGGAAGGCCATGCGAGAATTGTGTGCGTTCTTCCTTTGTATTTCGGCACTCCCGGTTGTACAGTCAGGCGCGGATATGTGTGCAGGAGGAGTCTTCCCTTTCAGGAGTCTGGGGTTTGCTTAGAATTCAGCCTCTGCCCTTGACAGTTTGTGGTTTTAGGAGCAGAGGTGCCATGTTAGATGTGTCCGAAAGGTGCCGGGGGAACGAAGTTTGGCATTATTTGTGCAGCTCTGTCTGCGTCGGGGTATTTTTATTGATTGGGTTTTTTTCACCATGCGATCAGGGCAGACACATCTCGATATTTGTACAGGAAGATAATAAAGGTGTTTTCAAATGTATCTGATGGTTTTGGTTTTCAAGCCAGCAGCCTTCATCCATTTTCTGCAAACGGGGAACCAGAGCACAGGCTAACCGAGTTAGGATGCTGTAGTTCTGCACGGAAAGCTTTTAGTTTCACAACAGAGAGCAAGTGCCTCTCCGTAAGCACCTTGGCATCTCTCCAAAATGCCTGGGCTGCTTTAGGACATTCTCATAAAGAGCTTGATTTTTTATTTTATTATTATGCTGATGAAAGGAGAGAGCCCTTCAGACAAAAGAATGAGAGAACGACATACGCTGTGCTGCAAACGAAAACACTCTGCATTGTTTTAAGCATTGCATGGAAATGAGGATACACTGGAAACAACAGTGTTTGCAGGGATACAGTTACATTTTATTCTAAGTAAATCCCACTCTCTAGTACTGTATGTGCCTCCTGGCTTTGCACTTTCCTAGCGATGGTCTCTCTGTTTTTGTTTGCAGCCTCTGATAGCACTGAGGATCTGGCCGAAGACAGGAGATATATGTCAGTCTTCAGATGTGTCTGAAACAGTGTATTTTGAGTCTCTCTCAGCTGTTTTCAGCCCAGATGCAATTTAAAATACATCTAGGAAAATGGAAATGTTCAGGGGGGGGAATTTTGAAAATGTGTCTCCCAGTTAACTCCTTGTTTACAGCCCCATGTCCCGTGTGTGGGATGAAGGAATTCCAACCACTTCTGAAAACCACAAGAAACGTTAATTGCTTGCTGTTTTTCATTTGGATGTTCTAGCTCAGAGATGCTTGGTGCTTGTTAAAATGCCAGGATTCAGGGACCTGTGGATGCTGAAGAGCATGCCCCCTGTCAGCGCCTGCCCATGGCATCTATTGCTGTGGTTAGTGACATAGCTTCATATATTTGCGTATTTGAGAATATTTCGGTGCTTGCAGTGTAATTCACCATGTGCTGGTGACACATCTTGCCAGTAGCTACAAAAGTGCTTTTGTATACTGCTGTCCTGGCAATAAATTATATCAAGAATAGTTTGCTAGTTTAGTTTCACGTTTTAATACTTTCGCACAGGCTTTGAGAGTAGCACGCAGAAAGGAAACGTATAATTCCCCTTCCCTTAACTCTTCCTTGGTTGGTGTGGAGGTAGAGCTCAATCCAACGTTCATTAACGCTGCCAGACTCAGTTGCTACGAATGACAGAACTGTCAGCAGGTAACAGTGCGTTCCTTTCACAATTCAGTCTAGAAAATCCATTTCCAAAGCCTTTGGTCTCCATACTCCTCCTAATTCAGGCTGTTTCTAGGCCCTCCGAGTGAATTGCTGACTAGCTGGGAGGTGCAGGATAATTGGAGAGTTCACGTGCAGCAGGGCTCGAAGTTATGCCGTGGAAACAAATGGTGAAACAGCAGCTGCACAGACATAGCTATCCACAGGGGAGACGTCTCGAAGATTTTCATGGAAAGACTGATCTAGATATTGAATAGCCCAAAATTATTTGTGATCAGTGGTCAGGTCTCAGCTGTCATCTTTCCTGGGATTCCACTGCAGCTAACTGCAGTTTGTGAGCAAGGAACGTTCGTTACCCAGACCGACAAACTCCAGGATTCTGCTGCTTCTCCCACACCTGGGTGTTCTCACTATCTCTGGGCGTCATCTGAGCTGGGCTTCGTTTGCTTTCCTGGGGGAAAGGAATTGAAGTGCCGGGAGCCCCTTGTGCAGGATGGTGTAGGCTCCCGGGTTGTAGTATCCCAGGTGCTGCCCAAAGTCTGTGTAGAATTATTTCTGCTTCTAAAGCAGCTGTTTCTGTGGACAGTGCCTCATGCACAGTACGAGGTGGTGCTTCCTGGCAGGCATCAACTGGGTGCGGGGAAGAGGGGAGAGCTTCCGGGTGGGATTTCGAGAACAGCATGGCTGGTGGGGAGCAGGAGGGAGTTCCAGATCAGTGCAGCAAGACCAAATTCTGGAGACGCGCTGAGAGGGAGCAGACGGGAGGGAGGACAGGTGGTACTTGGTGGAGGACCGGGAGACTGTTCCAGGCATGATGGGAGGGTGCTAGGGGGCATGAGGCCTAGGGGGGGGAGAGGCAAATGGAGCCCGCAGGGGAAAGGTCCTAGAAGGAGAAGAAGGGAGCAGAGTGCTAGGTGGGGGCTGGGTTGCATCAGGCCTCAAGGACCTTACAAGTCTAGGGGGGAAACCCCAGTGTACAAGTTAATCCTCCTATGATTGGCTGCCTTCCCCCTTTTTCCACCTCTTTGAGAAGGCAGCCCACCAGACCTGTTGTTTGTGGTGAAGGACAGCCTGGTCTCCCAGCACCTGCTGCCCCTGGCCTCGGGGCAGAACTGCTGCTGTGGGGCAGGGGCCAGGAGGGACGGCAGCTGGCACATACCTGCCAACAGCTGTGGGGGGCAGGAGCAGGTTTCCTTAGGGGGCTGCTTGTGGGCATTGTAGAATTCATTTGGGGACTGTGTATGTAGGGGACAAGCGGCGTTATTTGAAGGCCCTGGTGGGGTTTGTGTAATTGGGGTGTTTGCAGCAGAGCAGAATGTATTGGTGTGTGTGTGTGTGTGTGTGTGTGTGTGTGTGTGTGAATTACTGGTGGGTCCATGGGGGTGTCATCGAATGAATGGGGGGCTGTGGGGGAATGTTGTAGAATTAATTCGGGCCCTGTGTGTGCAATAGAGGGGTCTTGCTGGGGGGACAGAATTAGTGTTCAGGGGACAGTTAATTGGTGGTGGTTTAAGGAGCCAAACTGATTTTTTTGGGGGGGGAGGCTGGAATTGGGGTAGCAGGGGAAGAAGATGAAGGAAATCGCTCCTTTAGCCGCTGCTACCTACAATCCATGCTCTCCTCCCTGGGGATCCCTCCTCCATGTTCTCCCGCAGCCTGGCTCCAGGCAAGAGCCTCCATAGCCCACTGGCATAGCCCAGGAGTACAGGCAGGAGGGAGGTGCGAGGCATTCCCGCTCCTCCCCTGTGGTGTGCTTGGGGCCCCAGGGATATGGGGTGCAGCAAGACATGCACTCCCCTCCCCATGCCCCCGGGCACCCTGCCCAAGCTATCGGGGAGGAGCAGGTCAGCCCTGCACCATCACTGCCCAGTGCCCGTTTATGTCTCGGGTGGGTGAGGGAGAGGCTCTGGAATCTGACTTTGCAGCAGATAGAGACCCATGGAAGGTGCAGAGCGGGAGGCGTGCCATGGGGAAAACAGCTGCCTTTAGCAGCAGGGGTTTGGCCACCCCAGAGGGGTGGTGAGAGGCAGGAGGCAGGACAGTGACAGCGCTGAGAGGAGATGGGGTCTCGGTTCCTGGAGCAAGAGAGCCAGCGGGACCCGACTGAGTGTGAAGAGCAGAAACCTTGGAAGGGAGGGGAAACGATTTTGGGGTGAATATGGATTTCAGTGGAAGTGGGGGCTAGGGAAGGAGAAAAGCTGGCA